CTCCGCTCTGCCCGGCCGACCCCCGCCTCTTCCGGCCCCTTCCCGGGGCTCTACGAGTTGCCCCGGCGCTCAGGGATGCGATCCCCCTTTCCCACGGATGCGATGGTCCCCGATCCCTTCGGCCCCGACGTTGAGGTCGGAGGGGAGTGAGCATCGCTGCGGTTCCCACGACGGGAGCGCGAAGGGTGAAATTCTCTTAAGTTCTGTTCCTGAGTTGTAATTTTACCGCCCGTCTCACAGAAGCTGGGACTGAGATCTCAGTTTATAAGCTTTGGATAAGGAATTGCTTTGGATAAGGAATTGCCCGAAATTAAACAAACAAACACCACCGGCGTGTTCGCTCGCACCGCGGGCGGGACGGGCTGGCGGGCACAGGGCGAGATTTAGTGAATAAAAGTTGATTTTCGCCTTAGTGTTCCGGGGCAGCCTGAGCTAAAGCGCATCCCTTTGCAGAGAAGAAGCTCTCGGTGTTCACAACAATCCCGACACCCGGGATATACACGGGGATCAGCTCTGGCAAATCCTCTGGTCCGGAGCAAAGCACACGTGTAACAACAAAAATACTCAGCGGTGCGGGAGGATTTAGAGAGTCTTTGTCGGTCGCTTACCAGATACATGAGATGTACATCTCATCCCCGCCTCTTAAATAGGGCTGTTATTCAGTTTTCTGCTGGTAAAAATGACTGAAAATGCCCTTTCCAGGTACATATGCGAAGTGTTCTCTGCAAGCACCGGACGTCAGGATTTGAGGGGGAGAGGAGCTTTTGGGAAACGTTTTTGCGTTTTATGTCCTCGATAAAATAGTTAGAAACGCACTTGTAAATTAGTGAAGCTGAATCGGGGAAGCTTTCCCAGGCTGCCTCCGATTCCAAATTTTCATCCCTTGTGTGATCTAAGTAGCGATATAATAGCTGAAGGATTTTCAACTCTGTATTTCGTTTTAAAACAAGTGAACAAACATTTTGGATACAGAGAATCACCTAAAAGTGACTGAGTTAAAGAATTACGATTTGGGGTTTTCTCCCTTCATCATAAGGGAGTTCGGTTTTTTTTGTTGTTACTGTCTTTTTCTTCGTGTTTTTTTTTAAAATTAATTTTTATGTTTGTTTGTTTGTTTGTTTGTTTAGTGTTTTCTTTTTTTTCTTTCTTCTTTTTCTGCTGTTATTTTTTTCTGTCACTGTTGCGTTTGCTGATTTTATTTTGCATCCTTTGGGGAAAGAGCTTCCCGCTTGTATTTGGATAGCCGGAACGGCAGAAGAAAAGTTTACATTACGTTTTGTAAGGTGCCTTTTCCCCTCCCAGCTTCCTTGCCTTTGCGATTTATAACAGCTCCGCATCTCTTTAGAGCAGGGTAGCATTGGAAAATGCTGGTTTGAAACCTGACCGGACAACAGGCATCTAAACCAAGCAGTTTATTGGGAAATCACGGCTAGAAAGGACATTTAAAGGACAAGAAAGATTTTTAAAAAGCAACTTCCGTCTGTGTTTGAAGAGCTAAGCCGAAAATATTATTCTCTAAAATTGCAACAAATCTGTGTTTATCCGTTTGGTCAAAACCCCCACGATCGTCGCAGGAAGAAGAGGAGCGGTCAGTGTTACCGCCGTATCGCTCAAAATTGAGGTTTTTGCTCCAGGGACTTGATGTTTTTGGGCAAGGGCAGAGCCATCTAGAGGAATAGCCCGGCTATGGCGAGGCAGGGAAGGCAGTTCCCCTCACAGGCATGGTGTGCTGCCTTCGAGTTTTCCTTAGCTAATTTCTCTGCTTCCAACAAAGGAAACGGGTGAGAAAAATAATGCTGAATTAGCTCTAATAAAAGTACGTGTCCTCAGAAAACTCCAGCTTGCTTTACCAAATAGTAAGGAATGTGAAACAAAAATAGCTTCAGAAAGGTTATTACATAGCTGGGATGGCACGAATATGCAAACCAACACTTAATTTAAGGAGCGGAGAGAATAAAGCTTTGATGGTGTGACGGCTGTAAAAACATTTAATTTTCTTAATGCATTTATCCTGCAAGTAGCGTGCAGTGTTGCCTCGAAACATCGTCAGCTCTCAGTACAGACCTGTTGCTGTTCCCTTCTGCCAAGGCACGAGGAGAGCATGAAGAGATCCAGCACCCTGCCCCTCTGCTTTCTAAATGCTGCTTTTTTTTCCAGAGAGCTCTGGGAGACGTTTGCCTTGCAGAAATGCACCGGGTAGCTGGCAAAAGATGCTGAAACACTGAACTGAAATCAGTTTCAAGGTAAGAGTCCGAGGCTACTGTCCATCACTGGGAGCAGGCTTGGGGCTGGGTTTTGGCAAAGCTGTGACATGACTCTGTTATTACTGAGTGCTGGGGACATTTATTAGTGTTGGCACTGAGTGTGGGGCAGGGAGGTCTGCTGGGTAGGGGACCCCATGGCACCTCGGTGTCGGGCTGAGCCATAGCCCCAGCCAGCTGCAATTAAGTGCAAACCTCTCCAGCCTGCTGCCTTGGAAAGTGTTTCAAGACTTCCCAAGGAATAATGCCTCAGGAGAGCAAAGTCCTCCCCATCCTTGCCTTGTGCTTGCCACACTGTTCACTTTTGTGTTGCGCTTGTCCTTGTCGTGCGTGTGACAAGCGTTTTTCCCCCTGCTAGGAAGACACTGTGTTTGCCTCTAAGGCCCAGCTCCTCTGAACATGTAGGTACAGGCTTAACTTTCCTGTTGTGAATCTCAGGCGTGTGCAGCTGAACACAGAAACCTGAAAGTGCTTCAGACCTGAGCACCCAGCTTTGCAGCAGGAACCGATACCTGCACCCACC